CATCCATTTACTGGCAAATGCCATAATTTCATTCTTCCTTAAGACGGAGTAACATTCCATTGTTTATATATACCACATTTTCTTTATCCATTCATCTGTCAAAGGGCACCTCATAGCTTAGTTGGTTCCATAGCTTAGCTACTGTGAATTGAGCTACTATGAACATTGATGTGGCTGCATCATTATACTATGCTGATTTTGAGGTCCTTGGGGTATATACTAAAGAGTGGGATAACTGGGCCAAATGATGGTTCCATTCCAAGTCTTCTGAGGAATCTCCATACTGTTTTCCAGAATGGTTGCACCAGTTTGCAGTCCCACCAACAATGTATGAGTGTGCCTTTTCCCCCACATCCTCACCAACATTTATTGCTACTTATATTCTTGATAATTGCCATTCTGACTGGAGTGAAATAAATTCTCAGTGTGGTTTTAATTTGCATTTTTTAATTGCTAGAGATGCTGAACATTTTTCATGTATTTGTTGACCATTCATATATCTTCTTCTGTAAAGTGCCTATTCAGTTCCTTTGCCCATTTATTGATTGGGATATTTGGTTTTTGGGGTGTTAGGTCTTTTGAGTATTTTATATATACCCTAAAGATTAATGTTCTATCTGAGGTGCAGGTGGCAAAGATGTTCTCCCATTCTGTAGGTTCTCTTCACCTTCCTAGTTGTTTCCTTTGCTGTGAAGAAGCTTTTTAGTTTGATAACACCCCATTTATTAATTCTTGATTTTACTTTTTGTGCTTTAGGAGTCTTGTTGAGGAAGTCATTTCCTAAGCCAACATGATAGAGTGTTAGGCCTGCATTTTCTGCAAGGCAGACTCTCTGGTCTAATGCTTAGGTTCTTGACCCACTTTGAGGTCAAATTTCATTCTGCTACAGATGGATTTTCATTTTTCCCAGCACCACTTGGTGAAGAAGCTATCTCTTCTCTGATGTATGTTTATGGTGCCTTCATTTAGTATGAGATAACTGTGTTTATGTGGGTTTGTCTCTGTGTCTTCTATTCTGTTCTATTGGTATTCATGCCTGCTTTGGTGTGAACACCATGCTGTTTTGTTACTTTAACTCTGTAGTATAATTAAAGGTCTGGTATTGTGATGCCTCCTGTAAGTCTTTTTAACCCAAGAAAAATAAGCATTTCATTTTTTATTAATTAGCTATCATCAGTTCCTCACAACAACAATATTGCTGCATATCAAATCACTCCCAAATGCAGTTCCTGACAATGGTTTATTTACTCTCAGTTGATGGAGGCTGGGCTCAGCTGGGTGGTTGTATTTTCCAGCTGTGAGTTGCCTGAACCCAGCTCCAGATTGTGGTTTGGGTTCAAGTCTGCACCACATATCTCTCTCCTCCTTAAAACAGCAGCTACAGGGATATCTTCCTATCATGGCAAATATCAGGAGCACATGTAACAAATTAATTTATGCAGTATATTCAATCCCTTTGCTCACATTCTGTCCAGTAGCATTTCATTGTCCAAACCAGGTCACATGGGCAAGCCCAACATCAATGGCCTGGAAGTATTCTGTACACAGTGAGAGGACATTGAGATACATAATCCTATTACAGGGAATTGAAGGATTAGGACCAAGAATCTAATCTGCAAACCACTGCATTTGAATTGTCTAGAAATCTTGAGACTTTTATGAGAAAAAGCAATAGAACCAGCAGATAGTATACATCAGTTTATTTCCTCAGGAGCAGTGATGGATTTAATCTGATTTACCTCCCTTTCTCTTCAAATCTCCATGCACATCTCACGAAAAGAGCTACAAGTTTCAGGGTAGCAATTCATGGACATAGGTTGAAAGTTCGCACTTATAAAACTCTCTTATATGGAATTAAACTTGGACTCAATTCTTATCATAGTCTAACCAGTGTTGTGTGTATTCACATAAATTCACTTTGCAGCAGGAGTCTCTTCTCTCATTTCTATGTAATTTTATAAAATATTCTTGCAAACAGTAACATGCTCAATAAATATGGATTGAAAGATTGGGAAGTGAGAGTCCTAATACTGGAGAAATGAGAAGATACAGCCAATAGAAGAAATCTTGCAGAATACTGTGCTTTTCTGCATGAGAAAGCAAAGTATTATGTCACACTCAATATAAACACTGTGGAAATTTATTTTCTGAAGTAAATATGTGATTTTAAAGGTATATTAATCAACAGAATTTAGCTATACAGAACATAGTTCCTGTGTGACGTTTTAAGCTAGCAAAATAGCTTGGCACTTCTCTGTACCTATTGTTTCACATTTATTGTAAGCCTTTTAAAATCCCTTCTAAAAACCACAAGTTTATATGCCCCACTCCACTTAACTTTTTTATTGTTTATGTGCTTCCTGTGAAGACAGTCAGACAAGGCTGATAAAAAGAAAGCTTGTCCTTATTAAATACTTACGGGCACCTGAATAATGTGATTTTTTTTCTACCCAGGCAAGTCCACTGTTTCACTAAGAACTCACCCATTGGAAGCATTTTAAATGGATGCAAAGTTAAAAGCCAGCCAAAATGTCCTTCTAAAAGAGAGTGCAATGAATGCTAATCTAATTGCTGCCCAAGAATGCATATGCTGGGCTCTAAAAACAAGACCTCTACATTGGTTCCCCCTGCTGGATTTGAGGATGCATTGTCTTGGAAATTGATGCAAACAATATCCCTAAACCTTTTTCATCTGAGGGCACATTGCTCAAATATAGCATGCTTCTAGAAAGCATTTGTTTTGTGATAAGCATGCTAAGTGTTCTTGAGTTTGCTTCCCAGAGGCAGAAATACTGCAAGCAGAAAACTGTGTGGCTCATACTCAAAATGGATAACAAAAGTGTGCCAGTTGATGTCTGTGCTAGGGAGGGGGATGGCATGCATGTGCACTGAGGAAAAAACCCAGGGGAAGTAGGCCCGGTAAATTGCCAGTCTAGGTTTTATTATTAAAAGGTTGGATTTGGGGGTCTGACCGTGAATTTATTTTTTATGTTTTTAAAACTTCTGGAACCAGTCCTCACATTCTCATGACTCATTTCTCTTTCCCTACTTGTCTTACTCTTTGTAAGAAAGTGCTTTATCCTCACCCTATAAGGGACATGGTACCCAGCCTAATTCTAAAGGCAGCCTTTCACTTGTGGACACCACTGCAAAACCTGTGTTATGAAGTCTATCTGTTGGGAAAAGCTGGGATTTCTCCCCTGATGGGAGGAAGTGGGGGAATAATGGCTAAGTTTTTGGTGCATGCCACTGTACCAGGTTGGCCTTGTTAAGGGGGAAAGATCAACCATGGTGGGTATTTCCTGCTAGAGCAAAAGCCAAAGCTGTTGTTTACATGGAGAATCACAACAGAAAAAAAAATGTCAGAGAATCATGTGGTTCTTATAAATATGTATTTAGAACACTGGACATAAGAGCCGCAGGTTCTCATATCAAAGATTATACATTGTCCCTCATCAGATGGCACAGTGCTGAGCCATCAGAGGGGATTCTGTACATATTATGGATTTATTGGTTGCATTCTTCCCAACTTCAGAGCAACCCCCACACGCTCTGCCTTTTTTCCCCTCACTCTCCTATGTACCTTGCCTTTCGTTCAGGTCAAATCCAAATGTGTTCTGATCAGAAACTCTATTCCATAGTTTATTTTCCAGAGCTTCTTGGTAAAATGTTTCTCCATTGCTCTTGAGGTTCTTGTTTCAGCTCTACTCTAAAGGCCTCTTCTGGGGAGGATTTCCTACCAGTCCTTCTGCCTCTTCATTAACAGCCAGCAGTGCTCACAGACGCTGGTGCGTCAAAACACTCAAGCAAGATGAGGTTAAGTGATTTGGGCCTGCGCGTGGGTCAAGAGTTTTGAAAGGCTGGCTGAGTCTTCTGCCCCTCGTCACACTGGCTCATTCTGGGCTAAGTGGGAAGGTGTGAGGAAAGGTCACTCACGTGCCCGGCCCCTTCTCTTCTCATATTTGTCTGCATGGGAGGCTAGCCCGAACTTCTTTGCCGTGAGGCGGGCTTTCCAAAAGGAGGAAGCAGAAGCTGCCATTCCTCTGAGAGGAGCCGGAAGTCCTTGATCATCACTTTCACCACATCTTGATCTAAGCAAGTCCCAGCACCAGTCAGAATTCAGAGAGAAGCAAGAGAGGCTCCATTTCTTGGGAGACAAAGGATTTGAGACTATCTTTAACCCATATTAATATAGGCTGGTACCTTCTGTTTCTCTATCTTCTGTACTTAACTACATATTTTCATATTTTATTTTGTTTTTATATCCTTAAAGAAATTTTCATTTTGATTTGCTTTATTTTCTAAACAGAAAGTGATTGGAGGCTGGGGGGGGGGAGTCCTTCCAGCAATGAGGTATAAAATCAGGAAAGTTGATTTTTTTTTTTACATACCAATCCGCTGATATAATACACATTTTAAGACGAAAGAAAATTTTAGATATTTGCTAGTACACATCCCCTGTTGTCCTGCTTATTTATCTTTCACAGAGTTATATACTAAACCAACATAATCATTTCCAGAAAATATTTCATAGCATAAATATGTTTAAGACTGTCATGTACAAGCTAAGTTAAAATAGACTTTTTTGCAACATATATCAAACAGGAAAATAAAGGGCATAGAAATTTGTTCAACCAAGCTTCTTTACACAGACCCTGTAACTTGAGTCACAGGAGAAAAGTAGATTGGAAATTAAATCTGTATTGCATTTGGGAAATGCAGAGCAAAGTGATGTTACAGGACTGCTGAGTGAATTTTGTTTACTGCAGTTCAACATTTAATCTAGCAAATCATGTGAGAAGGGATGAGTATAAATGCACCTATTTCTGTAGGTAATTTTTCTGTTTCATGCCTCTGATTCATCTCTCTGCCTTGCTTTATGGGGAGTCATGCTACATTGATTGCAATTAATTTCAGTGCTGCATATTAGCCATAAAGAGATATTTCATAAATTGACTTGATGTGTGTTTTTTTTTTTTCCTGTATGGTTTTCTTGAAAGATGAGAATGGTCCAGAAGAAAAACAAAGTGTGGAAGAAATGGAAGGGCAGAGCCAAGAAGCAGGTGGGCTCAGATTTCTTTTGAGGAGTCTCCTAGGCCTCATCCACAGAGGTGAACAATAACTTTACTCAATGCTATTGTTTGAAAATGTTTATACCTTTTTCCCTGATTAACTCAGACATTCATTCAGGTCTGCCGGTCCTGTTAACTATGAGTTGCCTGTGCTTCTAAATAGAATGTGGTCCATTCTCACTCAGTGTCTCATTCACCAGTTCCATTACACTTCCCTATAATAACAGTTTGCTTGGTAAATACTCTAAGAAGGGTGGCTAGAGATTGGAAGTGTCAAGTCAGAGCTTGGATGACTTAGGTCAGGCAAAAATGAGTATTTAGTTTGAGGGGGAAAAATTAACTGAAACTGTTTAAAGGCAATGAAGAAGATGCTCTTCCTCCACAATGAATAGAGTGGTTTTCACTCTTTTTGCACTAAATTTTGAAAAGCCATGCTTCTGGTTATTTCTCTGCGTATTATAGGAAATAGTGTCATGGAGCCTGACTATCCCCCCACCCTCTAAGAGCAATAAAAGAGATCAAAAACCTTCCTGACATCACCTCTGTTCACTAAAGGACAGATGTGTCAGTTGAATGTTTAGAGAATTCTACAACATATATTATAAATTGAACATTTTAAAATAAAATAGCACTTAAGGCTCAAAAGGGATTGAAATCACCTTTGATTTATCATCTCTTTCTACCGGATATTGTACTCGGGCACACTCTCCTTTAAAAGAATAATAGGCACAACCACGCAGTTACCAGCATAACCATCAAAATAAAAACATCCTTCTTCCAACCATTTCCAAGTGATCTTTCCGGTTCTAATGAGGTCCACAGAGGGGCATTTTTTAAAATAGTGGACTCTGTCTGACGTGTGCCAAGCACGTCCTAGGCCATATGCTGAACTCCTGGAATTAAACCAGGTAGTGTGATAAGTTTTCCACTGAAAACTTCCCACATTAACCTTGGAACTTTTGCGAGGGAACTGGAAGCTTTTATTATTAACCTGGAAGATGGAATTGAAGAAGGCCAATCAAAGAAAGCACTGAAGCAAGGCAGCAAGGACCTTGTGTACCTATTACTGGGTCAACTGGCTCCCTTTGCTGAAACGCAGTCCTTGCAATGAAATGAATTTCTGATACTGCAAACTGTTGTTATCCAACCTTCCCCGCCCCCCAACCTACACATCATTATGATCCGTAGAAGATGAGCCTTATGTGAAAAGCTGTCACTGTTTTTGCTGTTTGGGGCTGACAAGTATTTGTCTACCAACTGCTGACAGCTGAGGCCATTCTCTGACTGTTGAGGTCTCCTGGGTTTTATTCACTCATTTCTCTGTCCCAAGCTGTCTTTATCAACATAGATATTTTTTTTCTAACCCATGTACATATACACGTACTCTCACATGCATGGATATACATGCACAAACACTTTCCTGTGTTCTATTTCATATTTTTCCAGTAATCAGCTGAGTACAGATAGTTTCTTTTTGGATTTGGGATTACCTTGACTATGAGCAGAGAGTGGTAGAAAGTAAGCCCTCTTCTCCAGCACTTGCCTCTGATAACATTATCACCCCCCAAATGGGTACCTCTCAATGTAAAGGAGAGCTCTAACTGCATCCCTGAGTGGCTCCCCATGCTCTTCCAGGTGAGCCTACTGCTTTGCAAGAGTCTAGCAGCAGGATTCGTTTGTGACAGTGTCCGGTGTCACCAGATATCATTATGTTCCCTCTGCTCATTTCACAACCACCCTATTCAGAGTGCAGAGAAATTGAAGACATGGTTCTGATTATTAAAGCTCTCTGACCTTCTGTCATTTTCCAAAATAAAAATATCTTCTTTCCATTTGATATAATTCCCAGTGCCAGTTTTTGTTCTGTAACTCTGCCGGCCTCTTCCATATGATGGAGAAAAGATACAATCTCAAAAATAGCATTATTTAGAAATTTGACAGTTGTCATGATTGAATCAAATCAAAATTATATGGAATATTTATCAAGATGTCCATAACAAATCCATACCAGTGGTTTACTGTGACCCAGACACTGTTTGGACACTGAATATAAAGCAGTAAGTAAAAAAATAAAAATAAAAACAGCACCCCTATTTTCCCAAAGTTTGTATTCTGGTGGGGTGACCCTAACAATAAACAGACAAATAGGAAATATATCAGATAGTGTAAGTGCCTGGAAGAAAATGGAGGAATGATAGCCAGATGGCAGCTTTTTGTTGGCTGGATTTGGGGAGGAAACAGGAGTTAAAATGAGATTTGAATGATGAGACGGTGAAAGGAACAGAGATGGCAGAGCAGAAATAAAATGCCTCTTAGCCACTTTGGGCTTAATATTGAAGACAGGCCAGTGTGACCAGAGCAGAGCGGTCTCAGAAGAACATTGTGTGAGATTCAGAAAGAGATCACATGACTAGACAGTGTCTGATGCTGTATGGTTTGACTTCATAAGAACTGCAGTAAAGATGTTCATGGAAGGTTTTAGGTATCAGAGCAAAGTGATCTGTGTTTTAACAAACTCACTGTGCCTGCGAGGAAAACTGGGTCAGAGAGCTGCAGAAGATGAGTTGGAAGGAGACCACAGGAAAGCAATGGTGGTGGTTTCTGGAAATGAGGCCAAAAGGACTGATTCATGTCACATTCTAGGGATAGAGACAACAGGACTTGCTGATGTACTGGATGAGGCCTAGGAGGGAAAGAGGGATCCAGGTTAAGTCCTCGGTTTCAGCTTCAGGGACTACATGGATGACAGCGCCACTTACTGATATTCAGAAGACTATCCATAGGGCACAGTTTTTGTTGGAAAAGTTAATAGTTCAGTTTTAGCTATTAACGATGAAACGATGTTTAGACCACCATATGGGATGCCAAGAAGCCAATTAGATATACCAGTCCAGATTTCCAGGGAGAGACGAGGGCCATAGACACAGGTTTAGAAGTCACTGACATAAATAATATTTAAAACTACGGGACTGTGTGATATTATTAGGGAGACTAGGCAAATAATGAAGATAGTGGGAGCAGCTACAACAAAGGGCCTCAAGAGGAATAGGGCAAAGACTGGGAAATGCTACTGAGAAGCAAGAAAAAAAAAGAGAGACATGATCATTGGGATTGCCAAGGAAAGTCTTGAAGAAGACCTGGAGAAGATACCAACTGGAGTGGATTATGGAGAGCTTAAGTGAGGAGGTGGGGAACAGTAACAATAACTTCTTTTAGACAATTTTGCTATGAAGGGAGGTAGAGAAATGGAAAGATGTTGTGTCATCAAGGAAAGGTTAAAACTCATTCTCTCTCTCTCTCTTTCTTTCCCCCTCTCGCTCTCTCTCTCTCTCTCTCTCTCTCTCTCTTTGTTTTTTTAATTGAATATAGTCACCTAACCAAAAAAAAAAATAATCTTTATTCTCTCCAACTATCCTCCTACTAAATACTTTATTCTCTGTTCCAGTAGAGGCATAACCTAAATGTAATAGTCACATATATTATGGACAAAAGATATGCTAGAAAATAAGGGATTTGCCTCCAAATGTGTGTTGTTTGTCATGAAAATATGATTGTCTTTAGTTCTCTGACCATGTTATTTTAAGAAAACATACATACATCAGTGTTAGAAGGATGTATATTTATATGTGTGTGTATTCATAAGCATATGCAAATATGTACATATATATGAATATACACACACTTTTTCCAGTTTTCAGGTATTAACCATTCCAAATGAATTTAATAATCTTTCATGTCTTAAACATATGTTTTGATGTTAGCAGCCAGTTATTGTTCTTGGTGCCAAACATGAACAGAGTGCCTGTGATGCTGATGATACTAAGAAGAAAGTCAACTGGGAGGAGGTTAATTGGTGCTGTGAGGGGGGACAGGGACCAACCTCTACATCCTTGGTCCACATTCTGTGCTTGAATGACATGAAGCCAAATTGCTTCTGCTTACCTTCCTCTAAATTTCCAAATGACCTCTGGTCCCTTTTCCCTAGACTCCACAATGACAGCGACAGAATTATTCTCTGCAGTATGGTAGCCTGGCATACTGGTAACCCACCGAAGAGCTATGCAAAGAGGAAGAAAACACATTTAAAGGCCCTTCATAGAACCTTGCTGGGATATACTTTCTTTCGCCATCTGTTACCAAGAAAAATTATATTCCATTCTTTGAGAATTCTGAAGGAAGTAAAATGCTACCATGGTTGGTATGCTACTACCAACAAATAGCATTCTTCACCAAAAAATAGTTTTTAGTCCATTGGTCTCTGTCTTTAACTGAAGGTTTCTGTTGTATTAATTATGAAAAAGGATCACAGCCCCCTGGACCCTTCAAAGACCATTCAGTGCATTACAGTATGAAAGAAGCTCATACTTCCTTTGGTGGAATGTGGAGGGAGATGCAGGGAGCCAGAAAGTCACAGTTTGACAGTATTAACTCTGAGGCCATGTTTCCTTTTCTGCTTTACAGATGGTGTGAGCAATACCACTGTGCCCAGCCCAGCTTCAGAAGAGACAGTTGAAGTCTGTAAAGATGAAGGTATGAGGCCATTTACTACATCTAAAAATCAGACTCTTAGAAGTAGATTATTAGTGTTTTGTTTATACAAAAAAATGAAGCAGCAAACAAATCTAATTCTCTTCAAGCTCTTCTATGTCTCACCACCTATTCTGTTTTATTCCATATCTAGTCTCTTCAGATTTATATACACATTTACATTTGTTCCTCTGGAAAAAAAATAACCACTTCTAAGATAATTATCAGAGAAATTATGGTTAGAGGAGATGTTTATTTAAAACACCAGAATTAGTCAATTCTACTATTTACAGCTACTCATCAGAAACAAATTTGAAAGAGTGGCAATTGCAGACCAACTAGCAGAGATTCTGCTATTCAAGAAAGAAATGTTTGAAAGGTATTCTTAGCAATAAAACTTGGGCGAGAACATCACTCTTCATGCTAGCACTAAGAGAAAATATTGCTTACCTCTTCATGCTAGCACTAAGAGAAAACATTGCTGACCCAGGTATCTCCAGAGAGGGGAAAAAAATCTTACTTTTCTAGGAGAAAATTAGTGGAATATATAAGGGGGGAGACTGATGTCATGGTGTTAACACCTTAAAAAATTATCTCAAGGAAAATAAAATAGTCCTTTCTTCTCCCTCCTGACTGACACATCTCCACATAGAAAGGTAATATTATTTTATATCTGTCACAGGTAACTACTAAAACAATTCTGTGAGTGAGAGTAGATTGTTATATTTGTATAAATGGGTGTCTAGTAGACCATTTGGAACTTTGAGATATGTATGGTGAATGCATTTCTTCACTTGGGGATGATCCTCAGATAGGTCTATATTTGCCATTGATATTGCTACTCTTTGAGTCAATGTTCAGAAAATCAAAGTGGCCTTGAAATTTTAACACTTATTTATTTGCATCATTAATTCAATTTTACTTTTTTGCCTGGTAAATTAACTGATGAATTAGTTAACCTAAATCAAGTGAGAGAATTGCTCAGGGTATGAATTTTGGAGTCAAATGACTGGGACTTAAATTCTGGTTTGCCAGTGGCAACACAAATAAATTTGACAAATAATTCAAGTCATTAACAAGGAAGCATCAAGCACTGACCAGTAATAAGACCCTTTGAGCTCCAGTTTTCTCCTCTGAAGAATGGAGACAATGATGTCTTCTGCACATGATACAATAATACACCTCAATTGCTTAGACTCTTCACCTGGCACCTGTGTAGATTGGACTTCCAGAAAACAGAATGAGATGGAGATTAGGAAGTAGATGTTCATTAGGGAGTGCTCTTGAAGAAATTCACCCCTATAATAAGAAAAGGAAGAAAGCAGAGCTGGATAGAGGAAGAAGCTAACTCACAATGCATTATCAGAAGAAATCTCGGCTGACTGGAGGAGGTCTGAAAATAGTATGACCCCCTCTGATATGCGGTGTACTTGGTGTGAGAGAATCAGGCCATTCAAACCTCCCATGGACAAGGCATTTGATGCTTTCTGCCCTGGGAAGGGGGTGTGGATTTTAGTGAAAACAGATCCTTCCATTGCAGCCATTATGGAAACCAGAGATGAATGAGATCTGTCCACATGTGGGAGAATAAATTCTTCATTCCTGATGTGGGATCTGAGTGACCCAATATAGTATCCACCATGCTCTTGTCATTTCAAATGCTTCCTTTCTTGTTTGTTGCCACTTTTCAAATGAATCCCTTGATACCACCCTTTCTACTACTTAAATTTGTGTTCTGGTATCCCTGGTCTAAAAACCACTTGATATATCTAAAAATGTCATTTATGTCAGATATCCACAGGGGTTCTGGTTTTAAAAAAAAATCTCTAGGTCATTGTTCAGAGACAAAGAAATAAACTCCTGATCATGTCAGAGTTAAAAAAAAAAAAAAAAAACAGAAAGTGGTGTTCATTTTAAGCAGAAAAATTTGAACATGTCCATCATTTGGCTTATGATAAAAATTTTAAAGTGTCATGAAGTCAAATGATCCAGTTGTTTAAAAAGCAAGGAAGAGATAATCTAATTTGAATACCTGGAGCTGAGATTTTTCCTGTTGAGTTATTTAGTTTGAAGATGCCACACCTTTGCAGAAACACAGTTTGTGATTTTTTTTTTAATGATGCTTTTAGGATCTCACACCATTAATTGTTCATGCCAGGATCAATTTTTTTGAAGACTTTTGGGATTTTTTTTTCTTAAAACTTTAAATGGTGGTAATTCCATCAAAGAGTTCTGTTATGTATACAAATGCAGTTCCCTCCTAAGACTAATTGTGAAGTTTTAAGGATTTTACTGAAATCAATCATTAATGTCCACTAACCTATTTATTGGGGAAAAATTAAAATGTTTAGAGTTCACATGAGTAGATAATCTAATTTCAATTAAAAATAGAACATAGGTGATTTTTGTCTTTTTATTCTGAAATAGCACACATGTAAGGCAACTTTGTAATTGATTATCAGATAACGCCTAGACCAAGTGTCTAATATGTACAGAACTGTCATCTTGACAGATAGATGCATAGCCTAGAATGAAAAAAAAATGTTCTCCATTGAAATCCTCCAAGATTGAGGTCAAGCTGAGGTTAAAAGGAAGTCATAAGTGTTGAGGATTCATTTCAAACATTCTCCATTATTAGCGTTCATGCAGAAATATCTCTCCTCAGTGACACCAGGGCTATTTTAGAACCCTGCAGTTATAAGATCACTTATAGAAATGCTTATTAAACTTTCTAGTTTAAGTGGCAGAACATTTTTGCTGATCAAAGGTCCTGAAGGAGCCCTTGTCCTCTTGACTTTGTTTTGAGACTTTGATCCTGGCTGAGCATCTTCTTGGGCTTTGGATCCACCCATGTGTATAGGCCTTGTCTTCTCCTTCCAATAGAATTTGAGACTCGTTCATTACTTCCAGTTTTGCTTGTTGATTGGTTGGCTTTATATCATTATAACTGATTTTCACTGGAAAGTAGCATCTTCCAGAGTGCAGGGATTGAAAACAAGCAAGTAAAAAATGAAATGGCTAATGTCTCATTTTGGAGGAGGTAAGATTTTTTTTTAAAAATTAAGCCATGTGTGAAAGTGGCAGAATTTTGATAGGAGGTGTTATAACCCAGGCATCAGCTATGCCAGTGATTTTGTTCAAATATTTTAGGACATATTTCCCTCTGGCAACCAAGAACTGGAATTCATCACCCTCGTACTCCACATAACTGCTTACTGCAAGCTGCTAACAGGAGGTACAACTGATTGGCTTATGGATCAGGAGCTAGATTTTCATCTACATGCTGGAAACAGCTGTTCCCAATGAATCACTACAACTGTAGGATGGGCAGGAGTTGGGAGGATGAAATATGAGGAGGAGGCATGCTGACCCTAAGTTCATCCACACAGGGTGGATGTCAAGGATGTGGCAACTAGAATGGAACTAAATGAACTCCCAGGTAAAGGTGGCCTGGGAAAATATCAATAATGTTGATAGACATTCTAAGGTTATTTGTCAAACAAGGCATGCATTTATATATTGAGGGACTCTTCCTTTACTAGCAAAAATAATCTATTAATTTCATGGTGTTTTTATACTTTAAATCCTTAAAAAAATTTCAGAAATACAACTGTCAAACCTATTTAATTTAACAAATAGGCAAAAAGACAAAGGGCCATATAAACACAGGAGTAAAATGCATAGGAATATCAAGTATTCTGGTTGAAATTCTGCAAAGTTATCCTTGTTATTTAAGATATAATCAGCCTTCTTCAGTCAAGCGGGACTCTCTATTATAGTTGTATCTACACTTTTAGATCTTATTTTTGCATCTTCATCCACTGCTAAGACCAAGTCACTTTATTGAGGAGGGAGAAAGGTGCTGTTTAAACATCCTGATTTATCTGTCCTATTATTTAATCAGTATCTAATTGGAATTTGAAGGTCAACTAGACCAAATCATAGGCTCATTAATATTAAAAGCAAAATCAATTAATACTCAGGTACACACCTGAACTTGTGTTCCCTTGGAACTCCATGTAAGTCACATCATGGCAGTTATGAAATGGGATGTCCACTGGCAGAGAATTTCTAAACCGTTAGTCTACTTTCAGATGTCAAAATTACTGTAGCAAAAAGAGAAAACTGGGAAAAGAGCCTTTTCAAAAAGAGCAAAAGAGAAAGGGTGAGTTTACTTATGAGGAAGTGGATTCCTGTGCATGCAGGAAGAAGATGATATAAATAATTCCAATCATCAGCATTGTACATCTGGTCACTGGTGTGGGCTCAGAATTGCTCTGAGGATTTTTTCCTCCCCTTGTCTCAATTGTTGTAGAGAAACAAAGCCTTTTGCCCCCATGAAATTCCCATCCTTGGTCATTTTCCTTGGTTCTTGGTGTGTACCATCCCCTCCCGAGCATCTCACCCTCTCAACTATCATAGTAGGGAAAAAGTGGTCCCCCATCCTGGATCTGTACTGATAGAGAGTCTGAATACACTTTAGCATCCTTGAGTTATCACTCTTGGATTTTTGGAGTCTTCAGTGTGGAATGAAAATGTCTGCCCTCTGGAGTTCAGTGAAGGGGAAAGAACTAAGATATATGGAGTGTCCCAGGTACTCAATGTTTTACATTACTGTACAATGCATTCTTCATTTCTCAAAAGGGTAACCTCAAACTCAGAGAAGGAAAGAGAAAGATGTACGTGCAGACTATATTAATGTTGACTCCCGTAGCTAATATCTATATGAATGTGACATCCTTTTACAAAGGGAGCATTTATTCTATTTTTAATATAACATATATTTTCTGCTTATAAGAACAATATATGTTTATTGGGAAATACTTTTAATATAGAAAATTATGAAAAGTAAAAGTATATAATTATTTTCCCTTTAAGCTTTCAGTGGTAAAAAAATTTTAAGAAGTCTATTCTGTTGTTTCATTTAACACTAGACCATGAATATTCTTCCATGTCTTTAAATATGCCCAGAGGCATGATTTTTATTGGAGGCATAATATTTC